AGTAGTAGTAATAGTACTAGTAGTAATACTAATAGTAATACTAATAGTAATAGTAATAGTAATAGTAATAGTAATAGTACTAGGACTAGGACTAGGACTAGTACTAGTACTAATACTACTAATAGTACTAGTAATAGTAATAGTAATAGTTTCAGTAATAATAATAGTAATAGTAATAGTAATAGTAGTAGTAATAGTAATAGTAATAGTAATAGTAATAGTAATAGTAATAGTAATAGTAATAGTAATAGTAAGAGTAAGAGTAAGAGTAATAGTAATAGTAATAGCAATAGCAGTAGTCGTAGTAGCAGTAGTAGCAGTAGTAGTAGTAGTAGTAGTAGTAGTAGCAGCAGCAGGAGTAGTAGTAGTAGTAGTCGTAGTAGTAGTAGTAGTAGTAGTAGTAGTATAGGAGTGGGGGTCGGGGTTGGGGGTCGGGCAGGGGTAGGTGTGTTGTCGTAGTCGCAGTGGTGGTAGTCGCAGCAGCAGCAGTAGTCGTAGCCCGAATAGGAGTAAGAGTAGGGGGAGGAGGAGGAGGAGTAGCAGTGGCAGTTGCAGTAACTAGCAGTAACCTTGCGGTAACCTCGCAGCAACCTCGCAGCAACTAGCGCAAAGCACCATTCGCGGTCGTGGTCCATGGACTTGAAAGTCTCTGTCTGTCTTTTCGCTGGATTCATGAATCCTTCGCGAATCTTTCGTGCAAACCTACTACCACGACACTTGCTACGATTCTCCCAAAACTGACGCCCTGTGCACTGACAAACACAATTGCAAAAGGGTACAGGCCTGCAGAATGCTGGCATGTTCTCTACAAGTATCATGTGCCCTAAGTCCGTGGACAAAGAACCAAACACATGGATCAAGGGCACCACGTGAAGGAGTTGTCCGCAAGGCAGCGCCCTCTGCTAGGTGCTTCAAGGCAGGCAAAAGTTCAGCAGGTGCTGGATCGCTTCCGACTGTGGAATGTTTTGTTTCGTAGACATGAACGAGCTGTACTGGCGCCTTGGGATATGCCTTGAGGTCTCCGCTCTGCGAAAGCCGGTAATCTGCATGCTGATCTAGGAATCAACTACTTTGGTGATGTGGGTCAAACACGATGTCCTTCTGAACTCACCGACATGAAACCTGAGCGAGCAGGAATTTAAACGCCAGTGTGCTTTGAACAGCATGAGGATGGCACAGGCTCTGAAGCAAGCCATTCATGTAGCCTGCTCCGAGGGCCGTTTGGGCGAAGCACACTCCGTGGCTCTGCCAATCGGGCCGGGCAGCAAGTCGCTCCATGGTTCTTCAGGCCGATGAAGCCCGTCTCCTGCACGTGGCTTTCCAAGCTCAGCTGTGTTTGAAGAGATCCTGTAGCTTGACTAGGCTCCTTCTTGCAGCTATAATCATTAGGCAAATTCAGTTGGTCTGCAGCTCGCACATAGCCTGAGCGGAGAGGGGCCCTGCTTCGAAACTGAATCACACGGCTGGGCGAGCTGCATGCCGCCCGGAAGAGCAGGGTGTTGTCAGGCCCAACCCTCGGTCACATGTAATCTGTCTGGCCCATAGCCCGCGGCCCAGCATCGCCTAGATCGTGAAACATGAGATCGCAGCCAGGCGCTTTCGGGCATCAGCTCCGCAACTCTGACCTGGTAATGGAAACTCTGCGATGCCAATCCTCGAGGGGCTGCCTGTAATGCGGGGATGTGGCCATGTCATGCCAGCCGCGGTCGATGCCGTCTTTGGAAAAGGACCAGATATCGGACTGCGCGGCATCCACCGATGAATGAAGGACTACTAGTTCCTACTACACACAAAGAATCACAAACAAACGATGAGAAACGTGTCGAAGCTTTTCGAAAGCTGCAAGGACTCCCTGTCACTTGTCAGCATCTCTGAAGCCCTCTTTGTGTGACTAGATGCTTATCTACCGGCAGGCTGGGCGGAGGGCTAAAATTGCCAGGAACAACATGCTGAGTCCATACTCCGACAGAACCCTGCAAAACTACGCGATGGCAATTGGGGAGTGCGGCGTACGTCGGGTGCTTCAGTTTCGTTCCGTCTGGCACGAAGTTCATGTTCAGTGGCTTCCAATGTCAGGCCGGTGTCCAACGTGACAACAAGAAGCGGGATCAGTCAAAGCAGAGTATGTGTTGGAGCCGTTGGATCTGGTCAACAGGCAGATGGTCGCTCAGCGGAAGGGACAGTGGATGAGAACGCCTGTGCTTGCGAGATCTTGCGAGCCTTGGTGACACTTCTTCGGTAGTCTGTCCAATTTACCAGACTGATCTGGTATTTCACGCCATGGAAGCACCACCTGCCCGTGACATCACACTCCACTCTACGGTTGCAGCGGTTGAACCCGGTTCCGAAGGAGAGGAGTGCAGTATAGTGCAGTGCGACTGCCTGGGGTCGAGCCCCTCCACAGGGTCTGCCTCAACGAAGGCCGATACCTGCACACACCGAATGGGCTTCTGCTGAAGCGAAACGCACGCGACTCTGCCTGCTGTCCCCCAGCGGTTTGAGTTCCACCAGGAAATATCAGCAACCTGCGGCATGCAACTCTGGTCACTACTGACATCCCGTTAATTGGGTTCGCTTCTTTTCTTTGCCATTTCGTGTCTCCAAGCTGGAGACCGAGCCGATAGGGAGGGGTGGGGGG